TCCATCTGTTTCACAGCTGAAGTGCATGTTCATCATACTCACTGTAAGCCTCAGCAACTCCTGGGCTCAAGCATCCTCCTGCCTCAGCCTCCTATAGCAAAATGGGACTATAGGTGCCATGTAGCCACACTTGGCAATTTTTTGTATTTTTTTGTCCAGAGACGAGGTCACGTGTTTGTACCAGGCTGGTCACCTGGTCTCAAACAATCTCCCCTGGCCTCCCAAACACTGGGACTACAGGTGTGAGACACACACCTGGCTTGTGTTGCTTTAAAACTGCTTAATCATGCTACACTCGGGCACATCGATACGTTTGCATGCTGATACTACATGACTAGCACGGTACTTTACAGTCGTTGCTGGCCTTCCCCAAACCATAACCCAGTCTCGTAACATGGAAAAAACAGTGGGCACAATCCAAAGTGGGAACAGTCTGTAAAATACTGCATACGCACCCCTCCAAAACTGTCTGGGTCATAAAAACCAGGAGAGAAAGCGGGCGGATCGGCTCTTCTGTAATGCCTAGCACCTGCTGGGAGGCTGAGGGGGTGGATTGCTCAAGGTCAGGAGTTCGAAACCAGCCTGAGCAAGAGCGAGACCCCGTCTCTACTATAAAAGAAAGAAATTAATTGCCAACTAATATATATAGAAAAACTTAGCCGGGCATTGTGCACATGCCTGTATCCCAGCTACTTCGGGAGGCTGAGGCAGGAGGATGCTTGAGCCCAGGAGATTGAGGTTGCTGTGAGCTAGGCTGACGCCACGGACTCACTCTAGCCTGAAAACAAAGCGAGACTCCTGTCTCAAAAAAAAAAAAAAAAAAAAAAAAAACAGGAGAGAAAGAACAGAACCGTCATAGACCAGAGCAGACCAAGGAATGTGAATACTTATACAGTGCAGTCCTCCTGGGCCTGCACCCTGGAAAAGATAGCACAGCAAAGCACAGTGGCTCACACCCTGTAATCCTAGAGCACTCTGGAGGGCAAGGTGGGAGGATCATTTGAGCCTAGGAGTCGGAAGACCAAGCCCTGAACGAAGAGTGAGACCGCTGTCTCACTAAAAATAAAAACAAAAAGAAACGAAATTAACTTGGCCACTAAAAAAATCAATAGTAAAACTATTAGGCCGGGCACCTGGCTCACGCCTAATAACCTAGCACTCTGGCAGGCCGAGTGGAAGGATTTCCTCAAAGTCAGCGAGTCTCCAACAACCGAACTTGAGCAAGAAGTGCAGCCACCCTACTATGAAATACGAAACAAATTAATTGCAACTAATATATATAGAAAAAATTAGCTGGCATGTGCTGCATGCCTGTAGTGCCAGCTAACTCTGAGCGCTGAGCAGGAGGATCGCTTGAGCCAGGAGTTTGAGGTGCTGTGACTAGGGCTGACACCACTGCAACTCACTCTAGCCTGGGCAACAAAGGGAACTCTGTCTCAAAGAAATAAATAAATAAAATAAAATAAGCATCAAAAAGACAATAACAAAGTGTTAATGAGATGTGGAGAAACAGAACCTCATAGATTGCTGGTGGATGAAAATGGTACACGGCCACTTTGGAAAGCAGTTTCATCAGTTCTTCAAATGTTAAAAGTCTATAAGATACAGAATTCACTCTCAATATAGCCCTAAAGAAGTGAAAACATATGTCCATCGCAAAACCGTTCATCAGTGTTCAAGCAAGCACCTTCACAACAGCAAAAGAGAGAACAAGCCAGATGTCCCCCAAGTGTTGGTCAGCTGATGAATAGATACAATCAATTGTGGTATATCCACGACAATGGAATATTATTTGACAATAAAAAGAATGAAAGTATTGACCAGGTGCTACAGCATGGATGAACCTTGAAAACTAAGTAAAGAACAGTCACAAATGACACGTGTTATATGAAGCCTTGAAAAGGCAAATTAATAAATACACAAGAGGTCAGTGGTTGTCAGAGCTTCGGGGAGGAAGGGAAAGGGAGTGTGTGTTATGATAGTGGCTTCTTCTACAGGTGATGGACAATGTTCTGAAGTTAGAGTGGATAGTTGCACAACTCTCAATATTATAAAAACCACTGAATTGTTGGGGAGGTGGGGATGGTATATATACACAGCTAATCATGCGGTGCACAACATCTGCGGACGGACACGCTTGAACCTGACTCCAGTGGGGGCCAAAGGGCAACATATGTAACCTAAACATGGTACCCCTGTAATATGCTGAAATAAACAAAATTTTAAAAACCTATTGAATTGTACACGTTTAAATGATGAATGATTATATGGTATGTGAACTATATCTCAAAATTGCATTTTCTTAAAAAGGAAATAAGCTCTATCCTGCTCAATGAACTAATTTCCAGGTATAACACAAATAGTAGCCCTAGTTTGATGGAGGGGAATTCTTGTTTCCAAAGGCTAATAAATGTGGAAGGAATGGATGAATCAGAAATGCACTGGCTGGGTGCAGTGCTCAGCCTGTAATCCTAGGGAATCTGGAAGGCTAAGGCGGGAGGGATGGCTTGAGCTCAGGAGTTTGAAGACCAGCCTGAGCGAAGACAAACCGGCCACCTCTACCAAACTAGAAAAAAATAGCCCAGGCGTGTGGGTTGCATGCCTGTAGTCCCAGCTACTCGGGGAGGCTGAGCAGGAAATTCCTTGAGCTCAGGATTTGAGGTTGCTGTGAGCTAAGCTATCGTTACGGCACTCTAGCCTGGGCAAAGAGCAAGACTCTGTCCTCCAAAAAAAAAAAAAAGTATCATACCAAAGACTTCTAGGAAAAGTTATGGAAGCCAATTTTCAAAAAAATGATAAGGTTTGGACAAAGTGGGAAAAGTGCATCTGTAAATTAATATCATGGTCCTGCCAGGCCTCAGTGCTGTGCTCCTGGCCCTGCTCTGATCTTTGTTCTGTTTGTGTGCATTGCCTGTCTTCCCACCTAGACGGGCTTTGTCTGGTTTATTCATGGCTCCATCCCAGGGTCTAGCCCCGAGCCTGGCATACAGTGGGTGCCCAGTAAATACTTGGCAAATAAATGAGTGAATGATCACTCCAGCCACACTGAATGACTCTGGTCCTCCTGCCCGGAGCACTCCCCACCCTGGCTTCTCCCCTTTGTATAGGGGGTCAGAGCACTTCCTGTAGGAAGCCCTGCCTGGTCTCCTGTCCCCAGAGTGGGCTGGCCACCCCGCTCTGTGCCCCAACATCACTCTGTGTTGCCCTTAGTGCTGCGCCTATCAGCAGCTACGGCGATCGTCTGCTTCCTCTCTGGTCTCCCCGCCTGGCTGTGAGCTCCCCGAGGACAGGGTCATGTCTGTGCTCTCTGGGTCTGCTCTGTGGGGAAGAGAACCTGCCAGAAGAGCGGCTGTGTGCCCTACGGTCAGGAGCAAGAACTTGGGCCCGGGCTTGCCTGCATTCTAATCTTGACTGTACCACTCTGTGGACTTTGAGTGCCTTTCTCGACCTCTCTGTGCCTCAGTTCACTAACCTGCAAAATGGGTACAAACATGGTGCTTCCCTGTGAGAGTGCACTGTGAGAGTGTCTTTTCTCTGACACAGAGCAAATGGTCAATGCGTGTTTGTAGGGACCTGGTAAACTAGTCATGGAATAAATAAGCATTCAATAATTTTTATCTGGGAGTCTCGAGACACGCTCCTCATGCAGGTTGATGTGGAATTTCACACAGTGCCAGGCATCTCTGGGGCTTACACACCCCTCGCACCCACGCTGGTGATACCACCAGGACTGTCCTGCGGAGCAGGGACCGAGCTCCTCCACTGCCCTCTTCTCTGTACCCCGAGGGGGCAGCGTGAGCCTGGCATCTGCAGGCAGTGGATGCTCAGAAACATCGAGAAGCCCCTTTCCCTCACGTCCCACCGCCCATCGTGGGTCCCACCTGGGCTGCCTTCGGGGATGGAGTCTCCTGTCACCAACCTCCTAGAGCCTCCGAACCCCCACCGCCGTGCCCTCAAATCTCCCTGCCAGTGTCCCCTGCCCTGCCAGTGTCCCAAGACGGCAGCAGCAGCCAACATGCTGCCCCTGCCTGTCACGCTGGGCCATCCCGACCACCTTCTCTGGTCCACCCTGGGGAGATAAAATGCCAGCAGGTGGCGCTGGGGAGGCTGGATTGTCGCAGGGCTGGGTCCCTCTCATTTTTGGGGTCATACTTTGTTACCTGCTCAGAGACGCCTTTCTCAAGCACTGGATCACCAAAGCCCCTACCCAGTCGCTCTCCAGCCCAGCGTCTGGATTTAGTTCCTGCACCGCACTCGGCACTGTCCAAAATCATCTTTATTCATTTGGATACGTGTTTAACCCTTCACCCTTTCCCCTGCCCCCAAGAACAAGCTCCAAAAGAGCCGAGCTGTCTGCCCCAGACCCTCGGCAGGGCGGGCACTGGAAGCCTCCATCAGCGCCTGCTGCAAGGGTGAGTGAGCCGTAGCCCGCCTCTGCTGAACGGCTGGCAGAGACTGGGAGGAAGAGGAAGTGGGGTGCACGTGATGGCCGTTTCAGATGTCCTTTCGTGGATCTAATAATGTTCTTTCTTCGGCTCGGGCAGGAAGGACTGCCGCTTGGCTGAGGAATGGGGGTGGGCCCTGAAAACCGCAGCCCCCGGGCCCAGAGCCCGTGCTCCAGCCTCCTCCCACGGGCTCCCGGCTAATCCACCTGCCCGCACACGCAGGAGGAGAGGGCTCTGAGGGAGTCCTTGAGTGTGCCCCAGGTTGAAGACCTCACAGGCCCAGCCTTCAAGGGTCTCCCCTTGGCCTCAGGAACCTCCTGGGGGCTATCCGGGGAGGAGGCTGGGGCTGCCACCCTTCCTTGCCCGGCCTGGGCAAGGCGTTCGCCACCCGGGGTGGTGTCCTGAGTCAGAGGGGGCTGGTTTTCCCCACAGAACACGATGTAGGTCTTCATTGGCGGGGCGACGGGCCCTTGGTGGGGCCTGGGGGCTCGGGGCGGTGCAGGTGCTGCCAGGGAGAGGTGCTTCCCATGGGCACAGTCGATCACAAAGGTTAGGTGAGCCGTGGGGACAGCCTTCGGATGGCCGGCCGGCTTCCCACCTGGAAGGGAGGAAAAGACCAAAGGTTTGTGCTAGCACAAGGAAGGGACAAGGTTTCATTAATTCATTTGTTCATTCAGTAGGGTTTAAGTGTGTGTTGGTGCGTACGTGAAGACAGGACAGTTGAAGAGCATGGATTGTTGCCCAGGCTAGAGTGAGTGCCGTGGCTCAGCCTAGCTCACAGCACTCAATTCCTGGGCCTCAAGCAATCCTCCTGCCTCAGCCTCAAGTAGCTGGGACTACAGGCATGCACCACCATGCCCAGCTAATTTTTTCTATAATATTAGTTGGCCAATTAATTTCTTTCTATTTATAGTAGAGATGGGGTCTCACTCTTGCTCAAGTTGGTTTTGAACTCCTGACCTTGAGAAATCCTCCCACCTCGGCCTCCCAGAGTGCTAGGATTATAGGCGTGAGCCACTGTGCCCGGCCTAATATTTTCTATATATTTTTAATTGGCCAATTAATTTCTTTCTTTTTTTTTATTTTTAGTAGAGACAGGGTCTCAAAAAAATTAGTGGGTGGTTCGCCTGTATCCCAACTATGCTGGAGGCTGAGGCAGAAGAAGTCACTTGAACCCAGGAGTTTGAGTTTGCTGTGAGCTAGGCCTGATGCCACGGCCACCGCTAGCCTGGCAACAGAAGTAAGGAACTCCATCTCAAAAAAAAAAAACCCACAATACAGACTATTACTATATTTATAAAACTGCTCGGATAAACCTTTTGACCACCCAACATTCTCATATTAATTTCTCTTTAAGTTAATCAAATAGGTAAATAGATACCAATATAAATATAGTTTCCTGGATTCCTAAGGGGATTGTATATAATAAGTCTGTTCATTCATACAGACAGGCTGGGATATAAATATTCCAACTAATGAACAGAGTTTGGACTTAATATACAA